CCAGGAGATCTGCAAGGCAGCCACCGGGTCGTCCATACATACGTTCACAACCCACTACGCGATCCATCATCAGACCAGAGAGGACGCGATGGTCGGTCGGGCTGTGCTACAGTCAGTTGTACCTTGACTCCTACCCACCTCCAATGGTAAGCTTGGGAATCACCTAATGTGTAATGGACGTGAGCAACACATCTCGAAGAACAACAGTTACAGAAGGTAAGTAACCGTTCTTTCTTGGTGTTTCCAGGAAGCTCAGTAACTTGTCCTGTGCCAATCCAACCCACACGAACCAGATGCTGAGGTAATGTTCACAACCTGATCTGTTTTCTGTGCAGTTGCACCACCCAGAGTCTCTTTCCAGGCCCAGCTTTCTTTTCCATATGTAGGCAAAACACCAAAACAGTTCCTCAGCCCAGCCTGGCCTCCAGCTCCCAGCCCCATTCAGTCCTTCCTGCTTCAGGGCCTGCTGCAGGATTCTTCTGTCCGCTCTTAGGTGAGCACCACCTCCCAGTGTTCTCACCCCAGAGGCTCCCGTTCCCCAGCAGGTTCCCATTGCCTCCCCTCCAGGGAACTCACTCTACTCCTGCTCCCCCTTCCCTCCTGACAGCCAAGCTGGGTTCGCTGACTGTGAGCATGTGAAAAACAGCTGGGTGTCTGTGAAAATGGTTGTGAATCCTGATGGCCCTGAACTTCCACTCTAATGAATTGTTGTTTGAAAAACAGTGCTGGAAAAAGGGCAGTTCCTTACTTGGTATTTTACTAGTTTCAGTTATCTACTCAGGGAGTGCAAATGAGAGCATGTGGCTTAGGTGACAAATCATACAGCAGGAATGATCAGCAGTGACCAGTCAACATGAAACGGTGAACGATCCATGATCTGAAATGTTTTTGTCCAGACTTCAGTGACTATTAATGAATAGCAAAGATTCTGCTGGTTCTGGAGTAGAACTGGGCTCATTGGCATCAGTAGGGGCAGGGTTGGGCCCCATAGCTCCATCCGGGATAGGCTGCCCCCATTGGCATTAGGGAGGGGAAGGGGGCAGGCCTGGACTCCAGCAAGACTTGTGCAATGAGCAAGTTGGCCAGGTTGTGATCTCCTTGATACTAAGGCCACAGGACAGTGACTTCTTCACATGCTAACTCTGGTGTGGTTAGTGATTTGCTCTTGTCTGTAAGTAGCATGACTGGAATCTCTGCAATGCTGTTGACTGGAATTCCCCTTGGAACACTAAACTCCTGATCCACTTGTTAGCGATCAAACCCACCTGGGACCCTCTTTCCCAATTCAGTCTTTGTTCCTCCGATGTTTCCAGGTGTTGTCTTGGAGGGGAGTGAGTCCTAGTCATGATGTCACTCCCCCCTTATATAGTTTTTCTATAAGGTAGGAACCCCTTTGTTCCCATTCCAGTTTGTGGAAAAGTACAGGTACCAAAATGGAGTTCAGTGTCATGTGATCTGGTCACAAGCCCTTGCATTCTCTCGATGAGTCATGGCAGCCATTGCCCATAGGCTGACTGAAGCATCCATAAGCTCTTCCGTGGTCTATTGTCTTTGTTGATGGGCCATTAGCACTATCTAGCTTCTTCATTGTTGTACCTGAAAGGCTAGTTGTGGGTGTTTCCAACTTCATAGAATCATAGAAGATTAGGGTTGGAAGAGACCTTAGGACGTCATCTAGTCCAACCCCCTGCTCAAAGCAGGACCAACCCCAACTAATCCCAGCCAGAGCTTTGTCAAGCCGGGCCTTAAAAACCTCTAAGGATGGAGATTCCACCACCTCCCTAGGTAACCCAGTGCTTCACCACCCTTCTAGTGAAATAGTGTTTCCTAATATCCAACCTAGATCTCCCCCACTGCAACTTGAGACCATTGCTCCTTGTTCTGTCATCTACCACCACTGAGAACAACCTAGCTCCATCCTCTTTGGAACCCCCCCCCTTTAGGTAGTTGAAGGTTGCTATCAAATCCCCCCTCACTCTTCTCTTCTGCAGACTAAATAAGCCCAGTTCCCTCAGCCTCTTTTCATAAGTCATGTGTCCCAGCCCCCTAATCATTTTCGTTGCCCTCTGCTGGACTCTCTCCAATTTGTCCACATCCTTTCTGTAGTAGGGGGCCCAAAACTGAATGCAATACTCCAGATGTGGCCTCACCAGTGCAGAATAGAGGGAAATAATCACTTCCCTCAATCTGCTGGCAACGCTTCTACTAATGCAGCCCAATATGCTGTTAGCCTTCTTGGCAACAAGGGCACAGTGTTGACTCATATCTAGCTTCTCGTCCACTGTAATCCCCAGGTCCTTTTCTGCAGAACTGCCGCTTAGCCAGTCGGTCCTCAGCCTGTAGCAGTGCATAGGATTCTTCCGTCCTAAGTGGAGGACTCTGAACTTACCCTTGTTGAACCTCACCAGATTTATTTTGGCCCAATCCTCCAATTTGTCTAGGTCACTCTGGACCCTATCTACCTCTCCCCCCAGCTTAGTGTCATCCACAAACTTGCTGAGGATGCAATCCATCCCATCATCCAGATCATGAATGAAGATGTTGAACAAAACCGGCCCCAGAACCGACCCCTGGGGCACTCCACTTGATACTGGCTGCCAACTAGACATCAAGCCGTTGATCACTACCCATTGAACCCAATGATCTAGCCAGCTTTCTATCCACCTTATAATCCGTTCATACAATCCATATTTCTTTAACTTGCTGGCAAGAGTACTGTGGGAGACCATATCAAAAGCTTTGCTAAAGTCAAGGTATGTCATGTCCACCGCTTTCCCCATACCCACAGTCAGTTATCTCATCATAGAAGGAAGTCAGGTTGGTCAGGCATGACTTGCCGTTGGTGAATCCATGTTGACTGTTCCTGATCACCTTCCTCTCCTCCAAGTGGGTGGCACAGCCTGTGGCTCATGATCTGTCAAGTGTTTCTACTCCTAAAGGCCCCAGCTGGAGACTCAGCAGACCCAGGTTGTAATCCTGCCACTCCTCACAGTTATGCTGATTTATACCCACTACAGCTCTGGCTCATTGACTCTAGCAGGGACACAGTGATTTACACCAGCTGGGGATCTAGCCTGCTTATTTCATTAGAGCTGCACCATTCACACCAGCTGGATATCTGGCCCACAGTCCATCTTCCCCTTGGTTTGCATCAAAATCAGTGTTTCTCAACCTATTTACCATTGTGGGCCACATCCACACAATATATGTACTACCTATATAGCCCTCAGGATGTCACATGGGCTGCAGCTGTGTGCTGGTTGGGCCGCAAGCAGCCCGCGGGCCCCACGTTGAGAACCACTGGTCTAACTGCATTTCTAAAGCTTTCACATGATGAGAACTCTAGGGTACTCGCCAAGATGGGGCAGTAGGTGACTACCAGAAGCAGGGCATGTTTCCAGCAGCCTCTTTAATTATCACATGTGGCACCTTTCCAGAGCTTTCCATCCCAGGAGCTCATAAAATGGCCCAAAGCAGGGCCTCATGATCCTCATTTTACAAATGGGGAAACTGAGGCACAGGGTAGCAATGTGGATTCCCAAGGTGAGCCCATGGCAGAATCATGAATAGCAGCTAGGTCTCCTGACTCCCAGGCTAATGTTCTGTTCACCACACCGTACCGCCAGCAAACATTCACCCTTTGACCTTCTGTATGGGTTGACAGCTTGTACAAACACATTTTCATACTTATAGTTTCATTGCATCCAGGATTTTCTTTCCCCTCCCATAAAATACCAGACTCAGCTGAAGATGTAGCTAGGAAAATATGGAAGCAATTGCACAGTCTATCCACCAGGAGGAGCTTTTGCCATAGGTCAGTATAGAACTGAAGTAAAGAAATAAAGAGTATCAGGGTTAGAGAAACAGGAAAAATCACCCTGATATCTGCACTTGGATAGTCCAAGAGGTCCTTTCCATGACCTGTTTCTAGCATCAGGATACCACTCTCCATGCACACAGTCACCGGAACATGTCTTGAAAAACACTGATGCAGTATTTCAGCACATTGTCTCCCATCACAAGATGGACTAAGAAGTCTTAGTAGGAGGTAGAAAAGGGGTCAATGAATTACTGTAACTTTCATCTGGGTCAGATCTCATCCTCTAGAAAGACCCATGCAAAATTGCTGAGGATCCAATCAGCAGGGCATGGTGTCACTTTTCCAAGTCCCGGCCCAATGTACTTGATAAAAAGATACACATAATAATATATATACTGCTAGCAATAGATGCCTGGGTCTAGTGCTGGCTTTCCACACAGGGGTGAATTTCATCCCAAAGCAATACAGGTGGGGTCTTGGTCAGGAGTTCCATAGAGGGGATCTGGTAACCTCATATGCCTGGGCAACTCTTGCACAAACAAAACTGCCTTGGACTCCTAGGCTGGGGTTTGCCTGAGCAAGGACTGCGGGATTGGGCCACAAAAGGAGAAGGCATCGATAATCAGAGTGGAATTCAGTTCTTCATTTGTGTGCTATGGGGTCGTGTTGGGATATATATATATATATATATTCCAACATTACCCCCTCTTGATACATGATTATGCCATTAATTATTGTATCAGTTTATAATTTTGCAGGCAATTCAATTTTATATATCACTTGCTCCAAAACTTCTTGTCGCTTTCTTATTCAGCAGTATAAATATAGCATAATAAAGGTTAACAAAATCATTAATGCAAATATCACAATAGGATGTAGCATTAAATGTAGAAGAGCTGTGACACTGGGAAACCATCATTTAAAACATCATACCAATGAGAAATTACCAATTCTTCTTCTTTCCCCAATTTTAATATTTGACCATTGTGGATCAAAATGTTTATTTTCCCCAGCTGAGCAGACTTAAATACATCTTTTGCATATTGTCTGATTTTTTCACTTTCATCAATCAGTTTTTTCCCATTTTTCCCAATGTATCCCCAAATCAAAGGACCAGTCCACATCTTTTGGTTCCCAAACAATTTCCTTTTTTAAAAATAGAGGACCTCGATAAATAATTCCACTAATAATGACCTCTGTTACATTTCATTTCCATGACTCAGTTGGGCCTTTTTCTGTCATACTTCCCCAAAATACATGTTTTTCAGTGGTTACCACACAAATACACCCATTGCCTAAATCAAAGACTCTTGTGCCATTAGATGCTAAATATTACCTGGTACATTGTCTGCTTGAATGGTTCAAATGACATCCCTCTAGGGACCAAGTTAGTTGTAGGCACACCTATTTGTTTCTTCCCCCCTCTTCACAATATTTTGTTAATTCTACTAATTTATAATCCCCTTCTTCTTGAATCAAGTGTGTCTCACTTATTTCTATTTGCCATAACTCTCCATTCATAATTTTTGGCAACACCCAGGCCATTGCTGCTTTTCTTTGCTTCCCTGTGTTGTACAACAGCATTCTGCCTTTCCATTCTGCCCTCAGAGTGGCTTGATCCCAATCTTGTAATTCACTGATTCCATATATGAGGATCTTTGAACCATTAAGAAGGCCATTGTCCATTACGTAACAGATTAACCATTCGCTGTATGTATTGTATCCCATAGGTTTGTATCTGTACACATCGTATTGCTAATCAAGTTTTATTGTCAATTTCAGACATACCAGACAGATTTACATTTAGAGACGTTTTCAAGGCTTGGGCTTGTTTCAACTGGAGTTCCATACTACTTATTCCTTGTTCCGATAATGCACCAAAATTTTGTGTCACATGTCTGTATAGCCCTCAAAATCTTACCCAAAGCTGATATTTTCCCTTGTAACGTCTCAATATCAAATGAGTTTAAAACTCCAGCTCCAATACTACCTACAATATATTCACCTATACCTCTCTGTTGTATAGTCCTGTCTCCCCATTGTTGTTGCCACGCTTGTAATAGAGGCAAAGCATATGGCATACACTCTGGTTGTTGCGCACTTATGTTTACTTGCACTCCTTCCAACCAAATTGTTAGATCCACAATAGTTGGGGCTTCGATTACTTCTTCCCTCCTATAGGGGGGCTCGTCTGCCATGATTCTTTGTGCAATCTTGTTTACTGGTATCTGATTAATAAACAATAAAAACCCAACCATATCCACAAAAATATATTCTCCAAATATTCAAAAAACATAAAACCCAACAACATATTTCAACCCCTTTCTCTTGACTCCCTCACAGGTCTTCTCCATACCAAATATCATCAGAATCCAAATCCAAATCTCTCTCTTTTTGACACTCAGCCGCAACTTGCAGATACTGTATTTTCACTTGTTTTTTCAATGCTGCTATAGTTTTCTGGCACCAGCTGAGAGAAACACTTGTGATCTCCTCTTCCTTAGTCAAATCTCCAAATAACTGTTTCATTCCTATCACTTGATGGTCTAATTTATCTTTGTTTGCTTTAATCTTTTCCCAATCCATCATTCTTTTTTTTTCCAATTCCCTATTTTGTTTCCCCATTTGTTCTGAGTTTGCATTATATGTGCCTGCCTCAATTCCCTTTACAAATTTTCCTGGCAAGTTTTCAAATTATCTTGTAATGTTTGTAACTCTGCACAGACTTAATTCTGCACAGACTTCCCCCTTACATGCAATTTCCTTTTTTACAGCTTGCCACAACAGCCATACTACTGCCATTTGCTTTTTACTGGCATTAGGCTTGTACAGCTGTACATATTTCTCAAACATGTTTTCTAAGGTATCAAGTGTTACATCCAGTTCCCTCGCACCTTCCATCCAAGGGCATGTTCCAAATGCAATAATCTCCTTCTCTAGCAGACTTTGGGCTCTAATACAGTATGTTTGGGGTGTGAATGTGGCGTGAGTAAGGTTTGTTTTGTAATCAATAAAGATAATTTAGAGTATTATATACCAACACTGTCTGGTATCTGCTTACTCCCCATCCCATAGGGAGGCCTCTATTGAGGGTCTAACAGTGGGGCTGTATTAAATCCCAACTGCCCTACTGACCCACACATCCATGTGTTGGTCATCTTCTATCCCACCTCCCCCCATGCCTCATCCATCTAGGTACCTATTTGTATATAATATGGGTATTCTGGTGGTACCTAAGGGCCAGCCAAGAGTGGGAACTCATTGTGCTTGGTGCTGTACAAACACCCAGTAATAGATGTTCCCTGCCCCCAAAGAGCTTGCAGTCAAAATAGATAAGACCATGACAGGTAGGGGACATCTGGGGGGAGATACAAGAAGGAGAGAGGGGGCCAGGAAATGGAAGCTAGGTCTCCTCAGTGACAGGACAGTCTTATCTGCTAGGCCGTTCTTCCTCCCCACCGCCTTTTGTCCTCCTCCCCCAACCTACGGTGGACTGAGTCCAAGCTTCTGACGTGAGTGAAAAACCTACCAGTGGGCTTTTGATCCTCCCTTTGCCCCTTCCGGCCCCGAGACCAGCAGTTGGAAGGACAGGGCCATGTCTGTTCCAGGAGGTGCAGCGGTGTTTTACTGCAGACACTTGTGGAATTGCCGGAATGGGTTAGAGCCATGGGTTATGCTTCCTTAATGTCCTGTCTCTAGCATAATGAACGCCACTGCTTCTCCGTGTGAAATGGGGCCCTGCCGACTGGGCACAAACCATTGATGGGTGCACTACTTCTCAAGCAGATCACTCGTTAGCCGAAAACCGTCCCCAGCCTCCGTTACAAGGCTGTGATCGCAGAGAACCAGTCATCGTAACGCGGAATCTCCTCCCCTCCGTCCCACTTGGGTACCAGTCTAAGACAAAACAAAGGCAATCAGGTCTTCAAACTGCTGGGGATAATGAGGAGTCTCTCTCGGAGAGACAGCTCAACCACCAGCCCGTCAGGGTGAGAAAGAAGCCCTGAGTTCACCCCTCAATTGCTTGTGTTGTGGCGGGCGGGAGCTGTCTGCTGGTTCCTTCGGTGCAGTCTGCTTTAAACAGCAGCAATAGGAGAGACAGTTTATAAAAGCTTGTAACACAGCCCGGAGAGCTTCCTTTATTAAGCTGTTTTCAAAAATAAATAGCAGATCCCTTAATGCTGACAGAGCTCGGGGGGCTAGGAACTGTCTGTCTGGCACCGCGGAACAGCTGAGAGACGGAGGCATTTCGCTGTTTAGTGTTAAAGAAAAAGTGATGTCCTCAGCACCAGAGGAATTGAAAACAATCCTTGTCTAACTAGCTGCAAATCAGCCCTAGTTTTGCCTTTCTAATCCCAATCGACCTGTAGTTCTCCTACAAGAAAGTACTGCACTGTTAAGGAAGCAATGTCCGGGCTGGAGACACGTTAGCTCTAGACTCCATCATAAGCAGGTGTAGATTTCCCTGAGTTATTAGGGGAGGATGGGACTTTGGAGCCCAGAGGAAATTAAATAATTAGACTCGTCTTTTAGCTGCAAAGTAACTTTCTTCACCTGCTTTTCCAGTCTATTCCATCTTCTCTACCGCCTCACCCTAGATGAGATCCCAAAAGGCAGCTCCGATTATAGGCAGGGCAAACTGTTGAATCCATCATCTCCATCTCGCCCTAAAGTCCTCCAGAGTGGACTAAATAGTCTAAATAGGCAAGACAGAATTATTACCTTCATTGTACAGATGAGAAAACTGAGGCCGACATAAATTAAATGATTTGCCCAAGGTCACACAGGGAATCAGTGGCAGAGCCAAGAATTGAGCCCAGCTCTTCTGAGTCTTAATGCAGCACCTTCACTTAACCACAGGATCATGCACAACCCTCAGGGCAAGAGCTCACCTTCTTTCCAAAAGTTACAGGCTTGCTCAGGAGACAATAACGGATTTTGATTCACCAGACTTTTGAGATCGGCACGGAAAGGCAGCAGTGCGCTAGCACCAATTCTTGCTTTATGTTGCCAAAAATGATTTTACTGTTGTCGAGCTGACACCAGTGCCACCCTGGCCACTGCAGCTCTCTCTGCTCTGCTCTCCCCAAACTCCAGCCAATGACAGATGTCCCCGGCAGTGGCTTTATACGGTTCAATTTGCATGATCACGCCAGATACCGTTCACCTTTGTACAGGCTGATTTGTTTCTCCAGGAGCTGCATGCAAATAAACCTGAGGAGCTGGGACACTGTGCTGAGCATTTGAGCACAGCAGACCCTCCGAGTGGGATCAGAGCAGGTAGGCAAATTTGGATTTGCCTACACAGGGTGACACCAGTTTAACTAAAAAAGGTCTGATTTTAATCGATTTTATTAAACCAGTGCAAAAGACCAAGTGGAATGTTGGGTCTTATTTCAGTTTAAACTAGGCTCCTTTCGGTTTAGTTTACTGCAATTAGAAAGAGGTTTAAACTAAACCAAGATAACCAATTTAAGAGGGTCTACACAGGCATTTGTGCCAGATGAATTCATCTGGTGTAAGTAAATCCGCTTAACTAAAATAGTGCAAATGTCTGTGTAGATGAGTCAAAGAAAGAAAGATGAGTTTTAGAACAATTTCAGGGGACGCTGTTTGTTTAACAAAGCACTGTGCTCTGTGGGTGTTCGTATTTAATTGTAAAAGCTTCTTCCAAAGCAGAGGACCCTTTTCAGAGGTTCTTTTCAGATCCCCCTTTCTCCCCCCCCCCCCCGCTTTTTTGGCATTCATTTAAATGCTGGCCATTAAAATATGTATGAGCATGACAGAGGGTATTGATTTTATTAGAGACACCCGGCAAAACTGGATAAACCCTTATTCATTCACAGAGGGTCCCGCCACACCCAAACGTGTGTGGGGTTGAATATGTAGACACACGTCGCACATATTCTGTATACAATGTGTGTATATTCCCTGCACGTGAGTAAGTGTGTGTGTGTGTATGTGCAAAATGTAGCAGTATGTGTGTGTGTGTGTGTGTGTAATGTTTATGTATATAGATGTACAAACGTAATGAATGTACCTGTATATGTTCATAAGTGAATGTATAAAATATTATAGTGGGTTTACGTGTGCACATCCATGTTTGATGGATGGATGTATTTGTACACACATCTAGTTAAGAATATATACCCACACGTGAAAGGAATCTACACCTATTACTATATAGTAACATTATATGGACGTACTGTACACCAGAATGTATATTTCTTCCTGCATGTGGGTTTTCCTCCATCAGGTCATTTCTCTCTTAACACAATAGATCTGAGAGTTTATAACTCTCTGATTACATATATACAATGGCGATTCAACTCATTTTAACTGATTTTGGGGTTAATTTTTCAAACATCCATTTGTGTACATGTTGAATGGTTAAAACTTAACAATAGTTTTAATGTTTCCCCTCTTGCCTCATTGAATTAAAAAAAAAACATGCTCAGCAGCGGTAGCATCATTTCCTTCTTGCTTTCAGATGCTGCAGATGCCTCCAGAATTACTTGGAGGAGGGGGATCAATTCTGCAAATAAAATCAATTATTTATTTTGTTTAATATAGTTCAAAACCTAACGGGCTCTGGGCGGAAAGGACTAGCAGAAGCAGGTCGAGAGAGATGGAGCTAAAAGACTTTATGCAAACACATGCGTGGAGGTGAGGTTGATTGCGATCGGTTCTCACTGAGGCTGCAACAAATCATCTGCATGTTTATTTTTCTTTTAAAAGAGTTTAAGCCATTCAAAACAGCAAACTCGTCCCAGATAATCTAGTCCAGCCCCCTCCTTTGTTTCTCCCCACACTGAAGTGCTTAGAAGCTATTTGCATTCAATTAGTGCACAACAAATAGATTCACTAAACATGGAATGTGGGGGAGAGGGCGGAGAGTTGAAAGATGGCACATGGACGGGGAAACATATTGACATGATAAATATTGCATTGGGTTTGGTGGGAGTCCCTGCAGCTTTAACACACTCAGAATATGCAGGAGGTGGGAGAGGCTAGGCGCGCTCCCTGGCGCATCGGGAGCGCGCACTGACTCTCCAACCCAGCAGCAATTTAAAAAAGGGAGGGGGCCAAAGGGGGATCAGTCATCAGGATAGTGGGACTCGCAGCCTGGGCAGCTCAAAGCTCCAAAAATGTGTGTTGCCTCTGCGATTGCAAAATTAAAGCCAGCCACCACCAGAAGCAACAGATCCACAGCTGCCCACCCATCTCTGGGGCTCCCTGTACTTCCCAACTAAATGCCTGGAGTTCAGTCTGGCTTCTGCAGCTGGGTGCTTTCCTGGAAGCTGCCCCCATAGATCTGCACTCTAGATCCCAAGCTGAGCAGGTAAGGCTGGGCAAACTTCACCTGCGCGTAGGACGTTAGCTGGAGGAGATCCCTTTCCTTTTTGGCTTTGGGAGCTGCCTGCAGTTATGCAGATTGTGGTAGCTTTTGTGTGCCACGCGTGGCATGGTTGTAAAGGCAGGGCAGGATGGACTAGAAGCGTGTATTTCAGAGAAGGGACCGCAGGTACAAACAGCTTGTGCTGGCGGAAAAAGAAAATGATCTCTTCTGATGCTATGGTAGATAGGATCCTTGTTCCCTTGCAATCAATGGGAGTTGTGCCATTGGTTCCAGTAGGGCCCGGGTTTAGCCCCAAATGTTAGATCTGTTTCTCCCAGGGGTGTTTGTCTTCGCATCTGAAGCAGGGAAGCAGCAGGGGTACATGGCAGAAATGCTAATGTTTCCCTAGCTTTCTGATCCGCAGCCTCTCCCAAATGGCACGGTTTGTCTTCAAATTAATACCAGGGAAACTACAGGTAATTAGGGTAAATCTGAGCGTGGTTTTACACATTTATAGATAAGGATCTTTCCTTATTCATGTCTTTGTGGGCAGCAAACGACAGATCTAGCTGCATGCTTTTTATTGTCAAAGTTTATAATTATTGCTTTATCAATTGTTCTGTTATCAGTCTAAGACAGCGCTTTTTGGAGAATTTATTTCTTCTCCTGAGAGCTTTCTCATGGTGTTCAGTGCCACGCAGCTTCAGGACCAATTCAACAGGAAAGTCTAAGAAGGGATGCCGGGCTTTTAAAGGGAAAGGTTAGACCGTGTATATTTTAACGCAATTTAAAAACTGCACGGTGCTGTCTGAGTTTCGGGTGTGCCGGAAACGTGGTTCGAAGATGTATTATATAGAGTCCTTGCAACTTCCAAACGGCATGCGATTCTATGAAAGAAAGGCAGACAGACAGAGAAATAGACAGGCAGAAAGAAAACGAATTGAAACAATGATTTGTTGGCTCTTAGCTCTGGTTTGGGTGTGTTACTACTTAGGCTGATGTTATTTTGCGCATCACACATGTCCGGGGGTCCGCGTGTGCAGCGCACTGTCCCCTGAGCAGGGAGTTCTTGCTACCTTGGGTTTTCCGTCGGGAGCAGAGCGCTGCTTCCTGTTCTACCTGGGCTAAGGGGAAAGCGGAGGGACCAGGCTGCTCCCAAGCCAGAGAGCGCAGCGGTGTCTCCGAGGCTAGGAGCTGGTGGGGTAATCGTGCCTGTCTCTGTCTCTGGCTGCAGGAGGAAGATGGACCCGTTGCTCTGGCTGTGGATCGCAGCTTTCCTGGGGGTGAGCCAGGGCTGCCCGGAGCCCTGCTCCTGTGTGGACAAATACGCCCATCAGTTCGCAGACTGCGCTTACAAAGATCTGCAGGCGGTCCCCGTGGGGCTGCCCTCCAACGTGACCACCCTCAGCCTGTCCGCCAACAAGATCACCTCCCTGCAGAAGAGCTCCTTCATGGAGGTCACCCAGGTCACCTCGCTGTGGCTAGCGCACAACGAGATCAGCGCCATCGAGCAGGGCACCTTCGCCATCCTGGTGCAGCTGAAGAACCTGGACATCAGCTACAACCAGATCATAGACTTCCCCTGGGGGGATCTGTACAACCTCAGCGCCCTGCAGCTACTCAAGATGAACAACAACCACATGGTGAAGCTGCCCTGTGAGGCCTTCCACACCCTGAAAGACCTGAGGTCCCTGCGCATCAACAACAACAAATTCACCACCATCGCCGAGGGCACTTTCGATTCTCTGACTTCCCTGTCTCACCTGCAGATCTACAACAATCCCTTCAACTGCACCTGCAGGCTTCTGTGGCTGAAGAGCTGGGCTGAGAACACCCTGATCTCCATCCCCGAGAGGGACTCCATCAGCTGTGCAGCCCCGGACAGCCTCCGAGGCGTCCCCCTGGGGAGGATCCCAGACCTGCAGTGCGAGCCTCCCTCTGTGCAGCTGACCTACCACCCCAACCTGGACAACACCGAGCTCTATGACGGCTTCACGCTCCTGCTGCACTGCAGCGTCAGGGGCAGCCCCCAGCCGGAGATCAGCTGGAAGGTGCAGACCGCCAGCCAAGACTTGGAGATAAAGGGGCCCGGCGTGGAGAGGATTGGGAACGAGCTACCCGCTGGCAGCTCCAAGCAGGGCACAGAACGCTTCCTGGTCTACGGGAACGGCACCCTGGTCATCCCCCACCTGAGCAAGCGCGAGGAAGGGACCTACACCTGTCTGGGCACCAACGAGCTGGGCAGCAACCAGACCTCGGTCAACGTGGCTGTGGCCGGGGCCCAGAAATACCCCGCCCGCCCCATGGAGGATCCCCTGGCCGGTAAAGCGCAGCCGGGCGAGAGGAAGCCGAGCCCTAAGGGCTCCAAGAACAGCGTCCTCAGCCCCGAGGAGAGGCCCAAACCCCTCAGCCCCACCCGGCACAGCTCCCATTCGCCGGGCCTGGAGCAGGTCCCCGCCAAGCGGCCCCTCTTCGAGAAGAATTGCGGTTCCAGCGCGGACACCCAGTACGTCTCCAACCATGCCTTCAACCAGAGCGGCCAGCTGAAGCAGCACACCTTCGACCTGGGCGTCATCGCGCTGGACGTGTCGGAGAAGGAGGCCAAGGTGCAGCTCACCCCCTTCTACGGCCAGCCGGAAAAAACCCACCTGCGGGCGCTCTACCTGTGCGCGGAGAGCGGCCAGGGCCACTCCATGGTGCAGTGGTCCAGGATCGAGGAAGGAGTGAACTCCTACTGGTTCCAGGGCTTGACCCCCGGCACCAACTACTCGGTCTGCCTGACCTACCTGGGGGAGGACTGCCAGGTACAAGTGGTCTTCACCACCAAGAAGGAGATCCCCTCCCTCATCATCATCGTGGTGGTCAGCATCTTCCTGCTGGCCCTGGCCACCGTCCCCCTGCTGGGGGCCACCTGCTGCCATCTGCTCGCCAAGTATCAGGGCAAAACCTACAAACTCATCATGAAGGCCCAGAACCCGGACCAGATGGAGAAGCACATAGCGGCCGACTTCGACCCGCGGGCCTCTTACCTAGAGTCGGAAAAGAACTACAACCCAAGTGAGGCGGGGGATGTTGAGGAGGAGCGGGAGGCGGAGGAGGAGAGGGAGCTGGAGCGAGACGAGAGCCTGGTGGCCGAGTCCATCGCTGAGTCCCAATCCAAAACCAACCCGGAGGAGTTTGAGGTGGGGTCCGAATACAGCGACAGGCTGCCCCTGGGGGCCGAGGCTGTGAACATCTCCCAAGAGATCAATGGGAACTACAGGCAGCCAGCTCGCTGATCCGACCCCTGGCCACCCCCTCAGCCACCGCCCCAACCTGTATATCATATAATACAGTAAGATACAAACTCGAGGTGGGATCTGAGCCATTCACTGGCTGATCAGCTACATCCTTCCAAAGACACTTCTGCCAACAGCCCAGCGTGGGGGAAACCCAACAGAATTAAGATCCCAACCCGTTTTTCTGGTCTCACTAAGTACTTCAGGGTGGGGTCGATTTTTTAAACAAAATAAGTGGAATGAATTGGCCTTTAAAAAAAGTTTTTAACACACTATTTGAAATACAAAGCTTTAAAACAAAACAAAACCATCTGCTCCCAACATATTAATCCTAAACGGAGGCTGTGGTCTTTTTTATAAACTATGTTGGTTTGTTACAATTAAAATACAATGGATTAACTATTTCCCCCTCCTTCACATAAGAAAATCCGAAAATATCCTGAGCTAATATCATCAAGGCCAGTTGTCAATTTCAAGCGTGAGTGTTGTCAATTTCAGCAAGTTTCTGTGCTGGACAGCTCCCATCCCCGTCCCACGTCAATGCAAACAGCTGTGCCCTTCCCACGCTGGGATGCATAAATCCGTGTATGGGGAGGATGGGTGAGTGGGTAACTGAAACCCACACCGGTCCTGACCATCCGATCAAAGATACACAAGGTGATCTAGCGGGTCATCTGTACCTACACAGTATTAATGGAGCCGTGCTGTAGAATTTGAGATGTGTGTGTGACTTGGTCCTCTCTTAACTTGTGGGTGCTTCTCATTTCTTTAGAGGTAGGGAAGGGAGTGTGGAAATAACACCACCTCTGATCTTTGTTGTCCCTTTTCCCCAGACCTTCTGGGAGGCATGTGACTCACTGAGATTTCCTAGATGTTTATTGAGTAGAGTAGCGTGCTTATAGAGAAATGTATGTACCCTTGATGTGAGTTTGTGATGTTTAAAGGGGAACGGGAAATGATAGGTAACTTTTGTCGTGGAATTGAGAAAAATCTGAAATGTATATGCAGCGCACTGTCCCCTGAGCAGGGAGCCGGTGCATCTGTGAGTTTTTTATTTTTTGACTCTGTATTAAAAAAGCACCAAAAATCAAAATGAAATCAGCACAACTGTCCCCAAGGCGGAGAAAGATTGTTTGTTAATTGATTGTTAGATAGTTTCAAAAGCAACCTTAAAAAGAAACGGAACCATAACCTTTTCTAAGCGCTTCTGTATGTGCAGAGTCAATAAAACAGATTTAAAATGGACTCTTTGCCCATTATTTATGGGGGGATATGGGTAAATTAATGGAAAATCAAATCCATATTTCAGCTTAAATTAAAAAGCTATAGTATAATTATTTCCCCTATTCTGCTTTGTCTTAAACTGGAATTTTATTTTTCAGATGCAGTTATTTTTAAAATTGTGGTTGTGATCATTCTAATTTCTCCGGAGGGATTTTTTTTCCCTCGTGGTTTTGTTTGTTTTTGTACCATTTTCTTTCTCGTTAAAGAATTTGGGATCGTCGTTATAGGTGGCAGTTTCAGGGGATTCTTGAATTAGTTACTCAGGTTTCTGAATTACAAAGCGACAGCCTGCTTTGTTTCATAGGTATCTTTTGTCTGTGTTTACCTTTACAAGCACAGGGACATTTGAAAAGTTGATTTGATCGCCAATAACATATTTTGCTTTATTTCACGAAGTAATTAAAAAAAAAAACGAGACACAAAAAACTGGGAAGGAAATAACCCTAACCCAGATCCCAACAATAAATTCGTCTACGATGCAGGGAAAGCATTGAGAAAGTTGTCACATGGATGGAGCAAGAATAAAACTAGACTGGCCACCACCAGCTTCGCGTATGTTCAAATAAGGTAGGTGCCTGCGGGAGGAGAGAGACTGACTGACTCCACCACACAGGCCAGGGTAATATTTAACTATGGCCCCTTTACTGATGATGTACAGCCCCCAAACTATCCGTATGAACATTCTATGTACTGCGTGTCTAGAGGTACATGCTTCGTGTGTGTCTGAAGATGTGTGTGCAAATACACACATACACGTTGTTTATGTAGGCATATGTGTATACTGTGTGGTATACACCCCAATTATTTATAAACATGCATCTACTTTATGAAATAAGGTGAATGCCCGTACTTTCGCCGTATGGATATATACACAGGCAGATTATTTATATATGTGTTTTGCTCGTGTAGATAATATATATACTCCGTGTGTGTGCAGATATAGACACACATTTATCTACACCCTTACACATCAGCTTTGTGAATAAAAGTAAATGTGTATACGTTGTGTGTGGATATGTACACAGATTATATACGTGTTTTGTTCGTGTAGATACATGTATGTACTCTGTGTGTGCAGATATAGATACACACACACAGTGAATAAAGGTAAATGTACTTTGTGTGCGTGAACACACAGATATTATTTATACACACATTTTGCGTATGTAAATAAAAGTATGTACTCTGGGTAAGCGTGCGCAGATATGCACACAATTACTTTGTAAATAAAGATAAATGTTTATATTTGCATGGGTTTGTAGACCTACACACCCACATTATGTGTACCCCATTTTGTGTATGTAGGCCAACGTACATACTTTGAGTGCAGCTATGATTATTTAGACACGCACATTAGCAATATATAGTATATAGACGCATAGGTCCGCTGTAACATACTTTGCAGACATGCATATACTGGTTGTGTCTATATACACATGTACAGCCTCTGTATGTAAGATTCTATGTAAGCTCAAGGAACAGTGCAATCATGTGTGTGGTGTGTGGGGTGGGGGTGGGGATGGGGAGAGTTGGTCCATCTGTTTTATTTGAGCACCGATGTAAAGATTTCAGCTTCCTGTGCCCCTGGCTCGCTGATCTTCAGGAAGTAGCGGGCTTACTCCCTGACTCCTAAAACAGCCACCGCGCCCCCACACAGAGCTAGACCTTCCCCGCCCTTCCTGGGAGAGGACTGGAGCTTTCCCCTGATGTTTCCGCTGAGGCAGACACACCCTCCCAGTGCGTGCCCCCCGCAGGGTGTATTCCTGAACGCCAGGCTCTGTCCCAAGCCACGAGTCACTAATCCCTTGGTTCTGTTGGACATCCCGGAATCCCACCATTTAGAAGCGCTACTGACCCCAGGGGCGATCAAAAGGAGCCCTCTGCCCATGTCGATTGCACCAGCAGGCGCGTAGGAAAGCCGCACAACCAGTAAGAACGAAGGGCAGCAACTAGTTTCCGTGTAAAACGATGCGATTTCAGAGCTAGCAACGCCTAACATCCCCACCGAGGTGATTGCAATCACCTTCCCCACCCGAATGGTTTTATCCAACAATTACACTAAGATCGGGGGGTGTGTGTGTGTGTTAATTGCCTTTATCATCTAGAGCTAGCCAGTGTATGCTTTTGCACATAGGTATATATATCAAAGATTGTGTACTTACATATATATTAACGCCTCTGTGTGTGTTAATGGGTAGGCATGTACACACACACACACTTGCATTCATAGACTGATAGGATCCACAGATTTTTAAAGCAAGAAAGGATCATTATGGTCATGTAGTCTGACCTCCTGTATACCACAGACCCCAGAATTTCAAAAAAGCAGAGGGGGAGAGAGAAATATCACACACACAATCTGTGAATCCTGTGAATCTAGGAATGCATGTGTGTTTATGTGTATATATATTTATACACACAAACACAGAGGACAGAGAGACTATTCTATATTCATATGTTAGAATAATGTCCATATTTCGTATAACTAAGCAAGTCCAAAATCCATGAATAAAGCATGTTAACAAACCATTTTCAGGAACTTGTATTTGCCACCCATCAGGCACAGGTACAATTTTTTTTTTTAAATTTCAGCCTTTGTCAACATTGAGTTTTTCTAGACTGCTATATTGAAAGAAAGCAAACCTGGACTATAAAAATAAAAGACATAGTCAAGACAAAAGAATGGATGGATTAAATCTCTTTAAAATGGAGAATAATATGGTCCAGACTCTGATCTTCAGAATGACTCTACTGTAAATTCATTAAAATCACTGGCGTTAATCCTGCTTTACACCAGTGTAACAGAGCAGAAATTAGCCCCAAATGTTTTCTCTGCTTTCAGCTATTAGGATGTTGCCACTTCAAGAGATATTAGGGATTCAGAATTCCCTGTATAGATCAATCCCCTTTTGTGAATACATTTTAATTGAGTTTCATGCCTTAAAACATACAAAAAATAAGGAAGTACAATCATTTCTGCATCCAATTAATTATGGAGTAATAGATTTGTCCCCTAACGTTTCTACAGGGAATTTAGTTATGATGAGAAAAACATTGGTGCTGGATTACGCTGGGACTTTTCCCTTTTGGAGGGTATTAATTAGCATTTGGAGAGGCAAAAAATAGGGAGAGGTCAGAAAGGCTGTGACAGAAGATGGAGTTTTAGATCATACAAAATCATTATTGCAATCATCAAATTGCATAGGTAATTTAGCCACACTTTATATTGTCGCTGTTTATAAATAGTTTATAAAGTGTTAATAAATTATTAATAGATGTTTTAATAAATAGTCAATGGTTATAAATTGTTATAAAGGCCTGCACACTGCTTATATCCACCTATAGCACCTTTGACTGATGTGTTCATAACCTTCTGCAACATATATACTCCTGTCTGTGACATGCGTATGACATCTCTGAATCAGTGATAAACTCATCAATAGAAATTTAATATAAAGTGTGATTGAGGATTTTTTAAAAAATCATGATGCAGTCTCTACAATGATGACATGACCCCTGGCTCCACAAAGGAAAGGTTTAACTCTGAGCTCATGAATGGCTCCACACAAGTCGGGGCCCTTCCTGTGCTTAGATTTAAACACAGGCTAAAGCATTTTGCTAACCCGAGGCCTTGGCTAGAAGCTGAATGGATGCAGGAAACAGGCACTTAGCTGTCCTATTTGCAAAAAGGTAATTCACCTGCTGCTGAAGAATGCCAAAAATTAATGCCAAGGACAACAGGGGGCTGTTTTCCAAATGTGGTCTGGAATCTGACCTGCAGTGGAGAGGAGAAGGCAAGAAAAAGAGGAAGGAAATCTCCTGAAAGGAACTTAGTAAGGAATCTGCTGTGGGGGAAGAATGCTAGAAGATATGGTTACAGGTTGGGGGCCAGATCCTCAGCTAGAACAAATGACAGTAGCTCCACTGACTTCACAGCTGAGCTACATCAGGGGGAGGATCTTCCCCACTGCAGAACAATTGGAAGAGATTGTTTCCATGCTGGATAACATGTGAACTGAGGTGGCTAGTTGGAGCCATCTGCTGCATTGGGGGTGTAACTCTCCTCTTGGTTCCCCACTGAGTTCAGTGGAGTTATTCCCAAATTGTACCAGGTGTAAGTGACAGCAGAATCAGACTCTAAATGACATCCTAATTTGGGCTGATGACATCCATTTATTAGACTAATATTTCAGCTGCACCATCCAATTCCTTAATTTCTTCATGAGCATGGGCAGCTTACAACTGGAGGGTCTGATCCAAAACCCATTGAAATCAATTGGCATCTTTCCATTGGCTCCAGTGGGCTTTGGATCAGGCCCAGATCCCCAGCATATGTAAATCAGCATAGCTCTATTGACTTCAATGGAGCACAGCCAATTTACAGCAACTGAGGGTCTGTCTCTGAGACAGTCCCATAGAGAGATGAGCTCACATCGTCCTACTGGCTAAAGGATACCAACAAAAAATTCCAGTGTTATTTTGAGCCTTCCAGGGCCTGATTCTGCTTGGATTTACACTGGTGTAACTACACTGACTCCATGGACTCAGTCCTGATTTACACCAGCATGGAAGAAGGATCAGTCCCACAAGCATTCAGCAATGGAGCCAAGTCATTGGGAAAGTATAATCATTTGTATGCACCCACATGCTGTGGTATGTTTAGTCTGCTGCATTGCAATTGTTTGTCCTGAGCTGCGCTGATGTGATCAATATCAGCATTAGCAGCCATAAAATGGCTTGTTGAGTTTCATTGATGAGAGGAAACAATAGTCCACTGCACTTTTGCCGGTAGTTTATCTTCCTCTCACAATACCAAGGGCAGACAGGTAGACAGGGCTGGCTCCAGGGTTTTTGCCGCCCCAAGCGGCACC